GGGTCACGCGGCTCCGCGGAGTCACGACCTCAGAGCCGGGGCTGCGTAGCCCCGAGCCCTGAGGGTGTGGGGGCCACAGACAGAAGCCGGAAGGGCGGGGGATGATCGGACCCGAGGGACCTCGGAGAGTAGAGGGGCCAGTGCTGGGGTTCAGGTGAGCGCCCCTCACCTGGGCCGCACGGCCGAACGTGAGGCGGGCGACCCGGGGTGAGCGGGGTCCTCACGTGACCAGACGCAGCTCCCAGGACCCCGAGACCCCCGCCCCCAGTCCCGAGTCGGAACTGCCGCGCACCTGCCGCTCCGCAGCAGCGTGGCCGCGGGCTGCGCGGTCGTCCTTCACGGGAGGCTTCGGAGCTCGGGGACCAGTGAGGAGAGCGCACACCTTTCCTCGCTGCAGTTTTTGTCCTGTGAATGTGTATAAAGCAGGTACCTTGCCCTGAACGAGAGCCGGTGTTTACGTGCTCTTCACCTGTCTCAGGTGTGCACCTCGCTAGACCGGTCCCTGCCCTGGGAGGCGGAGCCGGGCGGGGAGCGCCCTTCCTCTTCCTGGGTAAGTGTCCGCAGCTCGAGGGGCGCCGGAGCGGACCAGGCTCGGGATCACAAGTGAGTACAGGTGTCGGTGACGCCGCTGAACCTCACCTGGGATCGGGAACCTCCCCCTCACCGCCGCCTTACCCTTTAAAAAAGCTTTGCTAGGGTAAATCTTTGGTGAAAGAGGGAGGAACGATGTCTTCGGGATTTTAGCTGTTGCGCATGTAGCACCTGCAGACTGTCAAAAGTTAGGAGGAACCAACTCCCTGGACGCTCCACAATGCGGCTGCAATTCAAGTTTAGACCCAGTCGACTCAGTTCACAGAAAAGCCCTTCCCAAGTTTTTATTTTAATGATTGTAATGAATTTTATGTTATTTGTAAATATGTAATATTTGAAAAGCCAGCGTTAGTTACTGTCTTTTCCGTCCCCATTGGTTTCCATAGAGGACAGTCTGGACCTTTGTCAGACGGTTGGGTTGGGTGCGCCTGGCCCCTGGGGCAGGAGTTAGAGCCTGGCCATCTCTCCTTGGCCTCACCTAAGTGGAAGGGCCAGGCGTCCACCGCTCACCTGGAGCTGCCTGCTATCGGCCACAGTGTGAGGGAACCTCTTGGGGCAGAGCGGCTGCCTGCCTGGCCCTGTGAACCCTGGACCCTGGATCTCATTGCTATGATGGTTTTCCTTGTTTAAGGAAATGTGAAACTGCTCTGAATTGGTAGAGGGCCATAAGGTAGTGAGATTTACCCTGCTAGCTGGAAATGTGTCATTTTCACTTTATTTCAACAAAGACTTTAGTGTCACCACTGCTGCTGCCAAGGCTGAGCTGGAGAGCATGACACAGACATGGGACCCCTGCCGGCGAAGAGTAGGAATCTGATGGCCCCAGAATGATCAACCAAAGGGGAAAAGGTTTTCAGGTTTTCTTCTGCATATAGAACCTACATGTCCTGCATTCTTGTCCTCATGAGAGCTTTTATTGAGATGTGGGAAACGCCTGAGATAATAATGGGTTAGTCAGAAAATCTGCACACACGCATCTCAGAGAAATAACAGGTCTCCAAGGTGCTGTTTAGTCTTTGGTGTGTCCTGCTACTGGCACACCCGTGGAGGCTGAAATAAGTTAGAACGTCCATCCTGTTTATCATGCTTAAATTAAGTAGAATTGGTTATCTGGTTTACAAATGTTCTATTTAAATGAGTTACTACTATCCCTGACCTTTTGTCAGGGTAAAAAAAATTATTTGAAGGAAATATTTGCTCACCAAGAGCGATTTGATGCATTTCTTCCGCTTAGGTACTTTTCTCAGGGGACTTCTCACTGTTTAGAAATAAGGATGTGGTGTTTGGAAAGAAGAGAACGGTGCTGTGCTGGCGGGGGAGGCAGGTATTGCTGCTGTCCTGATTGACCGGTGGCCACAGAAGTCCTTCTGCACATTGCCTTATTTGCAAGTGTATCATGATAAGACACCATCCTGTGCAGTTTATAACCCAAGCACAGGGAATTTTTTATTTTCTTTGAGAAGAGTCCATTTACCACACCGAATGACCAGACCAGAGTGACATGTGTGGTCCTGCTCTGAGCCAGGATCACTCTGCGATTTGGGAAAAGGTAGAGCGAGTGTAAGTCAAAGCTTTCCATATGCTGGAAGCTATGTTTCTTGTCACTCTGTGGGCTTGGTCCCTATCCAAAGCCTGAGGTCAAAGGAACAAGAAAAGAGGCACAGTCCACACTCATGTCTTGGGTTCAAATGGTCTGTTTGGTTTGCGATTTGGATTAGAAGTTTAATGATTTAATCAGAGAGAAAGGTTTGATTTCTACAACTGACAAGCTTTGTCTCCTTAAGACAAAGGAAGTAGTTAAACCCAGGCCACAGAAAGAATTGGTTTAAGAAACAATGGCCATTGTTATCCAGCAGTAGTGTCTAAGATGATAATGTTCTAATAAAGCTGAAGGCAATATTTCAAAGGCTTTTAAAAGATTGCATAGATATGTAAAGTTTGTTTTGGCTAAGGCTTAGAGCCAAAATAAAAACCTGTAACAATTTCCTTTAAGCAGCCCTCTCATAGTTGAGTCCATTGAGGAAAATAGCAGATGCAATTGCTTGCTGATGGGAGTGAAGTGCGAGAAGCCCTGAACTGTGTGAGGATGAGCTGTCGGCAGGGACTTTGCTCTCCTTGCTTTCATCCCAGGCCCTGGGAGCCTGGATTGGAGACTGGTCAGTTTTCTCATCCCAGGTGGCAGTTTACTCTGAGTCTACTGGTGCTATTGCCCCCAGTGGCCCCAGCCCTGAGTTTATTGCCCTGTGATCAATATGGAAATTATTTCCACGTCTTAAGCTCATGTGAAGCTTTTGAGGTTTCTAAAGTAAAACATGTCTCCCCGGTATTTTATAAACTTCATTAAGGAAAAAAGCCTTAGTATGGAAATTTTCAAACATTTAGTTACTTTTTAAAGAAAACTTTACATCTCTTCTTGGCTTGAGGTTTGGCAATTATTCTTCTCTTAGGAGGAAACTCAAATATTTATAGATAATTTGCTTTGCCTTGGAAGTCAAGAGACTTAAGACTTAGGAATGTTCAGATGCAAACTATGACTTAGTAGTGACCTGTATTTTCATAATTTCAGCAATATGATGATACCCACGTTCTGCTCAGACCACGCTCATCCTGCCTTGTGGTACAGCAGAGGGAACGTGGGCAATGCCAGGGACAGAAACTGAGTTTAGCTCTAAATCATTATTATTGTCTGTTGGCTCTGACAGAAATTCTCTATGCACAACTACAACCAGGCAATATGCTTTTATCAGGTATTGAATAGGATCTGTACTATCCAAAGGAGCCAAGCTCTTCTGGAGTTCAGCTGAACATGAAGGTATCCTCACCACCAGCAGCCTTGAGATACCCTGTTCCCAGGGACACAGGACCACGTCTGGAACTCAGTCTTGTGCTGGAGCTCCATGGTCTGCAGGCATCCTAGGCTGCATCTGAATTCCAGTCCTGTTGCTTTCCTGCCCATGTTTACGAAAGAGGCCATGACCTTCCCAACACAGGATGTTTGCAGTAGCAACTCTCAACTGAGGAATTTGCTTATTTGACTGTTTTACTGCTGGTTGGTTGATAGAGTTCGAAGTAGAAAGTCTTTTGGGGGTAAGATTTATGCATTATTTACTATGCTTTAGTTGCATGCATCAGAAAATCTGATCCAAATTGGCTTTGGTGGATGAGGATTTTACTGGCCCATGTGACTGAGCAGCCCAGAGCTACCTCTGGCTTTGATGGTGGCCCAGCCCTGGGCTGAAGCAGAGCCCTCCTCATCTGCTCCTCTGCATGGCTCCACCCTCAGGCTCTCCCCTATGGTGATAGAATCTTGCAGCAAGTCCCAACACAAGTGCTTTGAAGGAGACAGTTCAGCAGCTCAGATGCTGATGTGGGTCAGTTCCAGCTGGTTCTGTAGCAGAGCACCTGCCCCACACCAGGTGCAGCACGGATGGGAACAGGCCAGCTGTGCTGGTTCTGAAATAAAACTCAGCAGCAGAAGGACCAGATTTCCACTGCAGTTTGTTGGTGCCCATCAGTGAGCGATATTGAGCGTCTGGACATGTACACGAAGCACTGCGGGGGCACCGCTCAGAGAAGCCCTGCTTCTGGCCTGCGGGGACTGCAGCTGAGTGGTGGGCATGTGTGAGGATGAATCTCAGATCACAGACTTAGGTGCCAGAAATGTAGATGTGTTCTTATGAGCCCTTGTTTTCAATCTTGTTTTGGGGGGTTGTTGAGAAGAGGTGTCAGGCCTGTGCCATCTCTGCCCACTCAGACTTCCTGTTGGTCTTCAGTCAGCGTTAATTCTGAAGCATGCCCTTGTTGCAGGCACATGGCCCTGACACTCCAGCTCTGATGGAACAACCTGCAAGCCAGGCCACTGGCTCTCCTGGGCCTTCTGGGCCAAAGGGGACTCAGAGGTGAACCCCCACTTGGCAGCTGCAGGAGGCTTCTTGGGTTATTCTGCTTGTTGGCCTCATTGCACTCAGAGCTTCTTAGCTTTTGTTTTGTTTGGGTTTTGTCCTCCCTTTCCTGGGAGGTCCTAGAAGGACTAACTCTGGGCACTATACCATCAACTGGAGCTTCGCTTCCCAGTGACCCTCCTCTCCCTCAGGGTCTAGGAAACATTACAGAGTTGGAGAGGCAAGCAAATATTGCTCTTACTTAGCACACATGCTTCCAAACCCCCTGGATTTTCTGTATACATAAGCCTTTCCTACTCCTCACAGGGATTTGACCTTTAATTCCAAAAAGCCATACAAGTACTATTTATCCACTTAACAGGTGTTTTATTGGACACTTTCTATATGTCATTATAGTATGTGTTGGCGATATTACAGTTAATTAAATAGTCAGTGTGCTTAACCTCATAGCACTCATGTTCTAGAGGGAGAGATGAGATTAGAAAGATTAGGTAGGTAGGTAGATAGATAGATAGATAGATAGGCAGGCAGATAGACAGATGACCATGGTACAAACTAAATATGATGAAAAATGTTTGAGGGATGTTAGCAGTGGAGTAATATTATCTGAGATATTACATAGAGCATTTCTTTGGAGAATGACCATAGGTGATCAAGACTAGGAACAGAGAAACCGCACAGGAGTCTGTTGAACAGAAACCACTGTTATTCTGTGGGCCAGGATGGTAGCAGGGGAGGAGGTGAGGAGTAGTCAGTTCCAAGCCCACTGAAGGTTGATGTTCTGATAGGGCATGCCGATGGATTGGCACTGGGTATGAGAGAACTAGAGAAGTCATAGCTAGCCCAGGTTCTGAGTGTGAGCTGGAGAGGAAGCTTGGGGAGCAGGCTGGGGAGGTGGTCTGGCACCACAGTTAAGTGTAAATGTGTTTGACTTGAGTTGCGTACTTGATACTTGATACCAAGTTCCAGTAGGTAAGTGATACTGTAAGTCTCACATTTAGGGGAAGGTTAAAGGCTAGATAAAACCTATAGGATTATCAGATATAAATGTGCTTCAAGTCACACCTGAGGTGTGAGTGTAAGCAGAAGAGGGTGGAGCCTTGGGGAAACTGAGATGACCCTGAAAGGAGGATGAGAAAGAAGGCTGGCCTTCCCTTCTAGGTTCCTTCCTGGAGGTTGTCAACTAAAAAAAATGCCCAGTGTGGACCTGTGAGTTACGCTTTATTTGGGACAAAATGAGGACTGTAGACTAGGACACAGGTTCTTAGATAGCTTGAAGAACTGCTTCGAAGGGGTGAGGATGGGGTTCAGTACACATGTAATTTTGAGGAAGAGGGACATGCAGTCAAGCACGTGTTTTGGCAAAAGGTTGCTGCTAGTCATGAGGAGCACATGTCTCTATTAATGATGTTAGTGCTTTTCTAGATATGAGGAGATGCAAGAATAAAATCATAAATTCTTTGTCTGAAAATATCTAACTATCTGAAGGCCTGTTCTGCCAGTTTTCCCAGAGCACAGAGCGCCTCATTCCTGATCTCCACCCTGAACTCCTTTCAGACTACGTTGAAAGTCAGTGACTGCAGTGGCTAGTGATTTAATCCAAGCAGAGGTAGCTGGAAAGTAACAATTTTTAGCTGTCAGGGCTTCCTCATGTTCATAAATTTGACCATAGTTCGGGAGGCATTTCATGACCATTTTTGTCCCACAGTGCTAGGACTGCTCACTCTTAGGTCAGCACTAGATACAGATAATTGACCATAAACCTAACAACTTAATTAACTTTAACTGCATGAGGCTGTGGAATACATTTGATTCCTAAGCAAAGGTGGGAGCGATTATCAAAGTAATTGGAACACAGGCCTGGTCTGGCTCCTTGGGTCAGCTGTATACCTCAGACGTCATCTTCTCACCCTGGGCTGGTAGTTCCTCCTCTCTTTGAGCATTGTTTTAAGGTGGTTTTGAGGTCAGAAGTCCTCTCTGTAGGCCAATCCAGTGCAGGGGCCCTTTCTAAATGGAAATATTAATTCAAGAATCAATTCGCTTCAGTTTCACTGTGCATGAACCAGTTAAGATACCTGATAAGAGTTCTAGATCGCAAGTCATGGGGCATCTGATCTTCAGCCAGATATAAATTACTGATATAAGCTTCAGAAACAAGCTTAGAGTGTCCTTTTAATAATTTAATTAAACTTAACAGAAATACAACATAACAGCAAGGAGCTTTCTGGGAAGTCTCAAGCAGTACATACAGACCTCAATTAACAAAATTAGAATTTAATATCCACTGAAACAGAATCTTTTTATCTCTAAAATTACCTTCATTTCTATCAAATATAGACAAATTAAAACAAACAAATCAAAATTATGTGTTTGCAAAGTAAGTCTGATTTCAATAAACTTGGCCTGATGATTTGTGTAAGTGTAGTTGATCATATAGGGTTTTAAAAAATTGATTATGATAGAACTTTTTATAAAAAATCTCAGATTAAAGTTTTTAAAAGGCCCCTCAAGGCCAGGAAAGCCATGCCAATGGCTTCTCACAGATTTCACCTGTGATATCTATATATTCAGTTGAATTCCTTCCTTTTCAGGGCCCCCAAAATACCTTGAGATTCTGTCCCCATTAGGAGATAGCCTTCTAAGTTACCTGATAAGGCTGTTGGGAACCTAAGAGTTTCCAGTCTCTGGAGGGATCAGGTAGAGAGAAAAGATAAATGTTTCAATTCTCCATACAAAAGTATAATTTACCAAATTACTACAAGTCATAATTAGCTTGAGGGGAAGGGTTTTCTTATATCTGGAAAACACAGATTAAAAGCTAGTAATATTCCAGAGAGGAACCATAAAAATTATAACCATATTCACCAGTTCACTCAGTCCTATATAAGTAATCCTTTTTGTTAGCAGTTTTATGAAGCCATTAGGTTTTCCATTAGAATTCCTTAATTTCTTACCCATTCGGTGGTATGATCTGAAAGTTATCAGAAACCTGTACTTATCAAAAAAGTCCTTGCTACAAATTTTCTTAAACAGAAAGCACTTTTGCAAAGGCATCAGTGTAAAACAGTAACTGCCTATGAATGACAAAGACTTAAAAAAGGCACAGTTAAAACCTGATTACAATGCTGTTGACAAAGACACATAGTTACTGTTGTGATATACAATGTTTTAAGATAATGACTAGAATTATGACTGATAATATTTTACCAGGACATACCAGATTCTTAGGAACTTCATATAGTTTCTAGGGTATCCATATTCATGACATTACCATACAATATAACCTAAGAAGATTTGTTACTCATTTGACAATGCTTCCCATGTAATTTAGCATACCAAATGAACCTAATTAGTTTAGTACCTCTCTTTGGGGTGTTTCAGGGGCCCTTTGAAGCATTACAAAGTTAGCTAGAGGCCAAAGGAACTTCATTAGAATTTGGGAAATTTATAGGAAAAAAAAAATATATATATATATATAAAATGTTTAAAACACTTGGTCAAATAAAATTATAGATCACTATGAAACAATACTTATTCACTTAGCCAAAGTGACAAAAGATTTCAAAGGCAAATATAGAACAGACCACTTAAAAGGTAAACAAACAAACAAACAAACAAAAAACACAACTTAAAATCTGTTATCAAAAGCTCAATAGTCTAAGAAAACTGTTTTCTTAACAGAAAGAAAAGGCAAATTCCAGCTTGCTTCAGCTTACTTTTTAAAATTTATTTGCTCAATTAAGTTTATTATAAATTTAACCCATCCTGACCATACTAAAAACTCTTTTCTCATGGTTCTTTTCCCACAAATCTTCTATAACTTTTTGTATTCATATTAGTTTGTCCCCTATTTTTTTCCCGTTTAGAAATAACCAACTCTAGGACAAAACTACTTTCTTTTCCGTCAACAAACTGCAAGTCTGTTCCTCATACTTTTTTTTAACTGAAAACACACATCCAATGTTCCTACTGTATGCTGAAATGTTTCCCTTATTATTTCTAGTAGTTTTAATTACATATTTAAATTAGAATTCTCAACTCTTAAAAATCTTTATTTTTAGTGAAAACTAAGAAGTAAGCAATTATGAATTGTCTTTTATGTTAGCATTTTGTAGAATAACAAATATAAATACCAATAATAACATCTAAAAACATGTACTTCCTTATAGAAAACATTTCAGTGTGGTACCAAACATATTTTTATTAGTCCTGAATACCTTTAGTTTCTCTATAAAAGGAAGTCAATGTCTAATAATTAATGTTGCAGTATCTTATGACTAAATAGCTAGAAATGACCTGGCTATTCAGTAAACTACCATCATTTAACTTAATTTAGCACAACTTTAAAATTTTAAGTTGCCAAATATCTGGAGAGATTACTTTTAAGTAAATACTCCTAAAACATAATTATTCCTAAAGAGTTCACCCATCGCTTCTTGGCCTTTTGGCTGAGATCAAGTGTGAAGAGTTCACCCAAAAGCTATTATCTCATTTATATTTAATTTTCTTATAAAAAATTTCATCATACCAAGTTATTTTTCTTGCTGACACATTTGCAACAGATACAGTAAGATCTTATTTGACTTCTATTAAACCTGGGTACAATAAAGGCATTATATTTAATGTTGATAACTCTAAAGACAAGTCTATATTAATTAAATCAACAAACAAAGTGACTTTAATACCAAGTACTTAGTACTGAATATTTCCCAGTTCATGTGAACCTGAAATTCATTTTGGCCAGTTTTC